CCCATATGAATCACGAATTATTCAAGTCCCAATCACTGTTAACAATAATTAATGATCAGATAATAGAAGAAGTATTATTTACATAAATTTTTAAAGCATTTACTGAATTCTAGAATATTTCAGAGAAAAATTTCCCTTGGGTGTCACTTTTACCAAAGTTATCCATAAATAGATACCATATTTCCTACATGTTAAAATATATCAATCTAATAATAGTTTTTTTATGGGGGAAACACAGCATATTACATTAATTGCACACAGTTATTTATAACTGCATTCTAATTTTACAAAAAATAAAATATAAAAGTGAAATCAATGAAATGTAGTGTTTACATAATTTAACATTTGTTCCCTAATTTAATGTTACAGATATTAAAGTTAGAAGTTTAAAATTGAAAATAAAACAGTTCTTCATTTACAGATATTTATTGATAGAGATCCAGCAGCATTTGCACCCATTTTAAATTTTCTTCGGACAAAAGAGCTGGACTTACGGTAAGAAATACATCCTTTTAAAGCAAATTCTTATTGATAGACATGTATTTTGATATATTTTATGAAGAAGAGGGCTTTGTTCTGGTTTTTTTTTTTTCCAAGATTGTTTTTGCTTGAAAGTTTCCTCAGAATTGAACTCTCATAGATATAGGCCACTGTCCTATCTTCCTCCAGACTACTGCAACAGCTTCCCAACCAGTTTCCTGCCTTCATTCTTACATCCTTCCAACTTACTTTCCACACTGCAGCCATAATTATCTTCTAAAAACATAAATCTGATCTGGTTGCTATTCTGCTTAAAACACTCATTTAATAGTATTGATTAACAGCTAAGGATTTTGTACTTGGTATTGTTTCTTAACACTGTCTGTCATAATCTTGCCCCCACTTAATTTCTTTTGCTTCAATACTTTCTTCCCTTTTTGGTCTTAGTCCTGACTTCAGTGATCTCTGCTCATTCCCCCAATAAATGTCTTCGTAGTTTCCTGTACTGTCACCATCACAGCATTCATTACACTTACTCCTTTTCAGTAGTCTTGTCTTCCATTAGACTTTAAATTCCAAAAGGCAAGCACTGTTTACTGTATATCCCTAGGATCTAGCATTGGGCTTGATGCGTAGTAAGGGTTCAGTACATGATTTTCTTTGGGCATAAGTGAATGACCGTTTAAATCAACCAGTCTGTTTTCGGAACAGGAAGCTACAGTCTATTTTGTATTTTACTGTTCTTTTATTCTACATATTCCTAGTGAACTTTCACTTAGGATCTACTAATACTGTTTCTATGTACAGCTTTTAAAATTCTAATTGTTTATTTGAGGTACTTCTTTTTAATATTATATAATTTTTGGCTTATATTCATTAGAATATGAGCTCCCAAAGATTTTTTAGATCTGGTTTGTTTCCTGCTATACTCCCAGTGTTAAAATTGTGCTGTAGTAGCTGCTCAGTAGACATTTGTTGAATGAATAAAAGATTTTGTTGAGACTTTTTGTTTGTCTGGATTTTGGCCTGGGATTGGGTGGAGGTGAGAAGTTTTTACTTACTGCTTTTTCTTGAGTAAAACTATTTTGACCCATAGCATTTGATCTTTAGTCAATCAAATCATGCGTAAATTTACTTCTAGTTTGTGTTCCTATGACTAATCCACAGCTAGATAACCCATGGAAGGCTGAATTAAATATCTGTATTTACTGACCACTTTTCTTAGAAATTGCTGCCTTATTTCATTAAGAGGTCTAGCAAATTAAAATCTATTTGCAGTATCTTCCAAAAGAAGGTGGGAAGGAGCTAAAAAAATACTGTGTTCTGATTCTGTTCCTTCCGTAGTATTCTGGAATTGCTCTTACATTATGTGTTGTAATTATCATATTTGTTTGCCGGTTCTCCCAGGAGACTGGAGCTCCTTCACAACTGCTGTGTCCTGTGCCATCTTGTAGTTAGCCAGTATTTCTGTGCGGTTAGCACAGATGGCTTTGAAGTAGAATAAGAAAGTTTTAACGGTTCTTATGTTAAACTAGTCACAACCAATTTCATAAATAAAAATGATTTAATGTAACAATTGCATGTGTTTATTAATCAGGGAAATTTTTTTCCTCTCCCTTTCTTTTAAAGAATTTTTTTAGAGTAGGGTTAGATTTATAACAGTTTTTGAGAGAAAGGTACAGAGATTTCTCGTACACTCCTTGCCCCTACACATGCGGTCTCCCTCATTATCAACATCACTTACCAGAATGGTACATTTTTTATCGAGGATGAACCTACATTGACACATGGTTATCACCCAAACTCTATAGCTTACATTATGATTAACTGTGAGTGGAGTCCATCCTGTGGGTTTGAACACAGGAATAATGACATGTATTCACCATTATAGTAGCATACAGAGTATTTTCACTACCCTAAAAATCCTGTTGCTCTGCCTTTTCATCCCTACCCTACCACAAAAAATTGTATTAATTCCATAATTCTGGAAACTGTCATATACTTGGAATCATAAAGTATGTAGGCTTTTCATATTGTCTTTCTTTTCACCAATACCACACTGACTTGATTAATTTTTATGTTGGGTAGTGGCAGTCTTCCAGTGTTGTTCTCCTTCAGTATTGGGTTGGCTATTCTGGGTCTTTTGACTCTCATGTAAACTTTAGAAACAGTTTGCCAATATCCATAAAATAATTTGGTAGAATTTTGATCAGGATTACATTGAATTACTTAGCTCAAGCTGGGAAGAACAGACATCTTAACAATACTGAGTCTTCCTATCATGAACATGGAATAATTCTCTATTTATTTAGTTCTTTGATCAGAGTTACGTAGTTTTCCTCATATAGATTGTGTATCTATTTTGTTAAATTAATACCTAAGTATTTATTTTGGAGGGGGTGCTAATATAAATGGTGTTGTGTTTTTAATTTCAAATTCTATTTGTTCATTATTGGTACATAGGAAAGCGACTGATTTTTGTACATTGTGACCTTGTGTCCTGCCACCTTGCTGTAATCACTTATTAGTTCCAAGAGTTTTTTGTTGATTCTTTTAGGTTTTCTACATAGACAGTCATATGTTATCTGTGAACAACAGTTTTATGTCTTCCTTCAGTCTGTGTCCTTTTATTTCCTTTTTTGCCTCACTCCTTTAATAAGATTGCTAGTATGATGGTGAGAGGAGTGGCGAGAGGAGACATCGCTGCCTTGTACTTGATCTTGGGGGAAAGCTTCAAGTTTCTCAACGTCAAGTATGATGTTGGCATTAGGTTGGTTTTTTGTTGTTGTTTGTTTTTAAAGGTATCTTACCAAGTTGAGAGCATTTCCGTCTTCCTAATTTACCGAGTTTTTGATCATGAGTGTGTGTTTGATATTTTCAGATGGTTTTTCCACATCTATTGATACAGTCATATGATTTTTCTTTTTTAGGTGTTGGTACACTTGATTACATTAATTGGCTTTCCAGTGTTGAGCCAGCCTTCCACTTGGTTGTGGTGTATGATTCTATTTATACATTGTTGGATTTGATTTACTAATAATATTTTTAGATTTTTCAATATATGTTCATGGGAGATACTACTCTCTAGTTTTCTTTTGTTGTAATGTTTTTGTCTGGTTTGGATATTAATGTTATGGTGGTCTCGGAATGAGTTAAAAACCTCCTGCATCTGTCCTCTGAAAGAGAGTGTAGAGAATTGGTATAATTTCTTCCTTAAAGGTTTCATAGAGTTCACCAACGAGTTCTTCTGGCCTGTTGCCTTCTATTTTGGAAGATTATTTGTTTATTCAATTTCTTTAATAGATATAGTCTATTGAGATTGTGTCTGTGTGAGTTTGGCAGATTGTTCTTTTCAAGGTATTGGTCCATTTCACCTAGGTTATCACATTTGTGGGCATGAGAGGAGTTCATAGTATTCCTTTATTATCCTTTTAATTACCATGGGATCTGTAGTAATGTCCCCTATTATTGTTGCCCAGGCAACATTTTAAAAATAAGGACATGGTACAACTGAAACCTAAAATGAATCATTAGTATTATAAATTCTTAAACTTCTGTTCTACTTTTTATTTTCATATTATTTAACTGTACTGTAACATCTTCGTCTGGATAACATAGGCCTTCCTAAGGATGGTCTTTTTGTCCTCTACTGTCTGTTTTACTCTTATTTTTGGTTTCTGATGAGAAGATAGTCATTTATCTGATTTTCTTCCACAAATATTTCTTGCATAACTATTATATACAAGCACTGTGCAAGGTACTGTGTGAGGTATACAAAAATAGATTTGAAGTAGATCATGCTTGCAGGGAGCATATGGTGTAGTTGGGGAGGTTAAAATAAGGACAGAAATGACTGTGAAAGAGACTTGAAAGCAAGGAATGCCGTATAAGAAGGATCTCCACTCTTGTTTGCCTTATTTGATATTTCTTGATAATTTACTTGTTGTAACCGTATAAAGTCTTAATCTCTCATTTAGTATCCAGTCCTTTTATATGTGAGTGATTTTTAAGTTAGAAAATGTTTTTGTTGGAATGCTGTTTTTTTTTAAATTTAGGCCTTTTGAAACGATTAAGGATATTAGAAGAAAAGTCAGTTTTAAAGCCTTTTGACTGTTCACATTAAGAACCTATTTTTCCTTCTGCTTCAGATCATAATCCACATTGCCAGAGGATTTACATTATTTGTTTGTTTCTTTGTAGAGGAGTGAGTATTAATGTTCTCAGGCATGAAGCTGAATTTTATGGGATCACTCCATTAGGTGTGTATTCTCCTAATTTATATTGATGATTTGACTCTCTTTGCACTGACCTTGCCCAGATGAACTGTGTTTCATACCAGGTGCTAATTTGTGATGGACTAGTTCAGTGCTTTTTGTGAATTTTCAAAGTAAAAAGGTGTTGTCAAGTGATTGCACTTAAATTAAATTTTCCTATTCTTCCCTTATCCTCTTTAACTAGAGACGGTTAAAATGGAGTATTATTTTTCTGTTTGCATGTGCTCTTGACAAGTTTGCTTTGAAATGTTTTTAGTACGAAGGCTTCTCTTATGTGAAGAACTGGAGCGGTCGTCTTGCGGCAGTGTGCTTTTTCATGGCTACTTGCCTCCACCAGGTACCTTCTGTGTTATTTACTTACTCTTTTTTTTTTTTTGAGAGGGCATCTCTCATATTTATTGATCAAATGGTTGTTAACAACAATAAAATTCTGTATAGGGGACTCAATGTACAATCATTAATCAACTCCAAGCCTAATTCCCAACAGTCTCCAATCTTCTGTAGCATAATGAACAAGCTCTTACATGGTGAACAAGGTCTTACATAGTAAGTTCTTACATGGTGAACAGTGCAAGGGCAGTCATATCACAGAAACTTTCAGTTTTGATCATGCATCATGAACTATAAACAATCAAGTCAGATATGATTATTCATTTGATTTTTATACTTGATTTATATGTGAATCCCACATTTCTCCCTTATTATTATTATTATTATTATTTTTTTAATAAAATGCTGAAGTGGTAGGTAGATGCATATTTACTTACTCTTTTTAAAAATTGTTTTTATCATTAAGCAAATACAAATGCATAAACAGGAAAATGTATTCCTCCATTAGTGTGAGTCTCATTTGTAAATCTACTAGAAATGATGAAAATTTTTATTTTAACAAAAGTTAAGTAGCACTATATGTTAGAACAGGGATGTGCCAAACCTCTTCTGTAAAAGGCTGGATAGGCTTGTGAACTAGAAGATCTCAGTGTCAGCTGCCTAGCTCTGCCCTGCACCCTATGAATGGATATGTGTGTGACCAGCACAACTTATTTACATAAATAGCAGCTGGGCTAGATTGGGCCATGGCACATAGTGTGCTACCACTTGTGTTAAAGGACTGGTTGTGAGTCTCCTTTTTGTAGAACCCCTGGAACTCTGCAGAGATACGTCAGTGTACAGGACAGAGGCAGGTGAGGTGCATTCCTCTTCAGTCAGAACAGTTTTGCCTTTACCTGTGTTACAGTGGGCTTCTGAGCAAGATTTCATTCCAAAAAAGGCTTCCTTGCCAAATAAAAAGACATGTGAAAGTTAAGGGGCAATCCAACTCTAAAGCAGGTGAAATGAGTATGTAGTACCTAATGCATAATAACTGTACCGTTAATGTAAATACCAGTGTCAGACTGAAAGAATTAATGGTTGATTTCAATAACCTGTAGCTAGGTAGAAATGGATTACAATATATAAACCTTAATCTTATTTATTGTATGTAATGTGATAAATGCCAGAAATCTGTTGAAAGAATTTATTTCCTTTTCATTTTATTGGTTTTTTATCATAATTACATTATTTGCAGTAAATCACTATATTGGGAGATACATTTTGGCCCTAGTGAAGTTTACAATTTTATGTTTCTTTGTTATAATGTGGAATTTTTAAGTTTTAGTAGGTGAACTTAGAAGTCAATTTATCCTATTTCCTTTTATAGGTATTCCTAGTCGAAAAATAAACAACACAACTAGATCCTCTACTGATTCTAGGAATGGACTAAATTCTACAGAGGGTGAAGCTCGAGGAAATGGTACCCAGCCCATTCTCTCTGGAACTGGAGAAGAGACTGTTAAGTTAGGTGAGCAAAGATAACATGAAAAGAAAAATAAATATGTGTATTTTTTAGTTCTAGGTGATACTGAATAATTATTTTAAGAGAGTTTTTGCCTCATCTTTCTTTTTCATGCAGGTTTATCATTTATATCTTGAGAAGTCTCATTTAACATACAGTTTTTATTTAAGGAGTATGTGACCCTTCGTTTGCTCTAAATTGTTAACACAGGGGTTGACAAACTTCTCATGTTAAGGGCATAGGCTTCGTGAGCCATACAAGTTCTTTTAGAACTCAGCTCTGCCGCTGTAGCATGGAAGCAGCGTGCACAGTATGTAAACAAGTGGACATGGCTGTGTTCCCACAAAACTATCAAAACAGGTAGAGGGCTTGAATTGGCCCATGGACAATAGTTTGCCAATCCCTGCTTTAGAACATAAAATACTTCTTTTTGTAAAAACAACAGGATTTCCTGTGGATCCACGAAAGGTGCTAATAGTAGCTGGCCATCACAACTGGATTGTAGCTGCATATGCCCATTTTGCTGTATGTTACAGGTACTGTATAATTAATTGTTTGCTTTTTATTTTAGAGGGGTAGTTTTTAGTAATTGTGATTTTATGTATAGATTTAAGAGTTGTTTCTTTTAGTCACCAAGCTTTTTTCTTGTATATTTCTTACCCACTTCTTATCTTCTGATTTAGATTTAGTTTCCTTTTATTTTCATGGCTTATTTGGTAAATATTCATAATAGCCTTAGTATGTCTTAAATATTTCCCCCATGATATGAACTGTAATATAACTGAAATACCTTGAAGATATTCTTGTTTATTATACCCAAATTATGAATCACTCACCTGTTTTATTAAATGACGAGGCAGGATTGGTAACATGAGCCCTGTGATTTCCTATCTAACGATGGAGCCCTTTGTACTCTGTAGTTGGGGAAAGTAAGACTCTGCATTGGTCATGACTGCCACATAGTGGGGAGTGAGGTGCTGAAGCAGGACCGTTGCGGGCAGAAGTGATGATCTGTATGATGTGTGAGACTTACATAGAGGTAGTTTGGTTTTACTGATTCTTGCATCCTCAGAAACGAAATGAGAAGTGTAGACCTGTGATTTTTTTTTTTTAATTGGAGAAAGTATAGGGTTCTTAGTTCAAAGTCACTGTATACACTGAGAAATGTTGATGACATGTAGAAGCACAAAAATAGTTGGGATGTACTCGCTTAGATTCCCATTTAATTTAACTGCTGGAAAAAAACAAAGAATATAAAAGTATTTTGTTACTATTGAGTTTAAGAAAAAATAGCCAAAATAGATTAGACATATTTAAAATGTCTTCTACTGATATATTTAAAGAATCCCAAATGTACTAAAAAAATATCTCAATTTGTGATAGATTTGCTGTATATGGTAGAAAAGCCCAGTAATTCTATCAGTAATCTCCACTTTCTATTTTCATTGAAGTAGAGATTAGAGATTCAGATTTCCACAAAAGTGAAAAAGCCAATTCTGTGTATATTTTAAATTATTGAATAATATGGAAGTGACTTTTTGGATGATTTCTTTTGGGGAATGACTTCTGATTATGTAGAAGCAAGACTGATTTGGAAAATAATTTTTTTTTAGGAGTATTATTTTGAATTTACCAACTTACATAAATTGAGAAAACTGTTTTAAACTTTACTTTTTTGTTTGCTTAAATATTATGTACATATTTTTATTGAGAAGGGATTCCAGAGGAGTTTAAAACAACCATGATAACAGGTGTAACAGCATAATTTATATATTGAACAGCAGTGCTGAAGATTGCCACTTGCCACCCACATACAATATTGCACAAAATTGCATTCATTTAGTGACAAATTAAAGAATGATGCTGTTAACATTTTCCATTCTTTGTGTTTGCTTTTGACTATGATCTTTGTTTGCTTTCACTGAATGTCAGTGATGTCAGAGCAATGTGCCAAGGCAAAATGACAAAGGAAAAGAAGTGAGGACATACTGGATTTCCTCATGTGCAGTTAAATCATTCAACACAATGACAATAAAAAGATTTAAAAGGAAAGGATAGTATTCAAACTATTTTAATAGTGTAGTCTTTCCTACAAGTTGTTTTTCCATAGCTTTTTATATCATAAGTTTAAAAACCTTAAAAAAATGAAAGAATAGAATAGTGAACCCCTTGTATGTCTTTTGTCTAAATTCACTAATTTTCTAAATTGTTAGGCTTTGCTTTTGTTTTTCTTGCTGAGTTTACAACAGTATTATATTAACAAGAGTAGTTGTTTAATTACTGGCCTCCTGGAGTTTATATTCCATTTTAGATCTTTAATCCATATGTAGTTTACTTTTTATATATGGCGTGAGATTTAGGTATATATTTTATTTTCTTACAAGTGGGTAATTTTATTCTGATTATTTGTCCTCCTTACTGAAGTTGAAAGCCCCTTTTATTGTGCTTTATATGGATGCTTGGGTATAATATTAGACTCTTTCATGTTCTTCTGACATTCTTATCTCTACCCATACAACTTGAGGTACAGTATGCTTATAGTAAGTTTCAGAATCCTGTACGGCTTATCCCCTCCACTGTATTTCTGTGTGATACTAATGTGTAAGATAACCGTATTATTTGCATATCTGTCCTGATGGCAGACTGTGGTTTACTCAGCAGAAGTAAGGAGATAGAGTGCCGAAATAGCAGAGCTCATTCTGTCTTGTTTTACATATTTAAAGTTTTTTATTGTATGGGAAACTATAGAGCAAATATGTTTTTCTTTCTTTCTACTTAATTTTGATTTAAAAATAGGAGGAAATGTCACATCTTATGACCTAAATTCTGTAATTATATAATTACTCTCACATATGCTGCCCAATTATTTTACACTTTTTGGCATCTCTTTATTTTATATTACCCCAAATTCTATAGGGAAAAATAACTTAGAAGTTTGATCTTTGTTAAAGATTAGATCACATCTAGTTTTATTATTTGTAGTCCTAAATTTATGATCATAGAACTGCAGCATTCACCTCATATCAATATAACATCTCTTTATTGAACATTAATATGAACCTAGTATATTTCTGCATCCACATAGCAGCATAGTATCATTATCCTTGATGTGCCAGCAGTCCGATTTGTGTCCAGTCTGATAGTCCCTAAGAGAATCTATATTTCATTTCTCAATGTTTGTTATTTTTAGAAGTTTATTATATAATTATTTCCATTTGTGTATTTTAACACATGAATCCCACCTGGTGGCTGAAGTGGGTAATTACAATGCTTAGGAAAAAATGTATTTTTCTGTGTAGTGCTTTGAGTTTAATTAAGGAAATCCTTAATTGTTAAAATTAATAAGGGTTAATTGTATATTTTTTTGTGAATTATAACCGTATTCCTTTAGTCTACAATTTTAAACAAAAATGGAGCTTAAGTGATTTCGTTAGGTCCTTAGGTAATCATTTATGAATACTAGAGTTTTGATTTTTGTGATGACTGTGTCAGATAGTATGTAAAGGAGCAACTTTCTTCGTGTTCTGTTTATCCTCTTCAGGTAAGCCAAAGAGAAGTTTTACAGTTTTGTTTGCGTTGTTTGCTGTACCATTAGAAATAGGTATTTGATAGTTAAAGTTCAGGTCGTTCATTGTCATGGTTAGATAACTGTGTAGTTTCTAAATGAATAAAGAATTGCTACATAATGAGCATAATGAGACAGAATACATGTCTGAAAGACTTGAATTCAGATAGGGCAGGAAAAATTATTTAAAAATTATAGGTATACTTATCAGAAATTGAATATTAAAGAAAACATTTATATTCAGTCAACTACAAATCTAAACCCTTGTGACCCTTTATTTATGGGAAATGAATAGGTTCATGAGGTTTTTTTCATTTAAAATGAAACTTTTTAAATATAAGGGTTTCCAGAGCCTTCATTTTATCCATTTGATTGTATCAGGGTATTGTACTATATATAGAATACTAGATTACTCAGTTAATCTTTGTTTGCTTGGATAGGCTATCATCTAAAGTATCAAAACACAACAGATAGAATGCATGTAGTTTCAGTTAATAATACCTGAATAACTGATTAATAACTGAAAGGAAAAATATTTATCCAAAAATTTTATTTTGATGACTATTCCTACCCATAGATAATGACAATAGCACTTTCTTTTGTAGAAAAGTGAAAGGGTACAACCATCTTTTAAAAGTTTTTAAAATGTGAAGAACATTCCTAAATTATTCTTTGGTGAAATATATAACTCCAGTCTCTTATTTTTAAGTGATTTATGTGTCCAATATATATAAATTTATTTAAGGAACAGTATTGTATATCAACAAAATTTTATACACATAGAAGTAAAAAGTAGCTGTGATAATTTTTTATTAAGAACATTCATTGGTATTCTGTTTGTTCATTTGTGGGTCTAATTTAGCATGTCTGTTCTTAACAGAATCAAAGAGTCTTCAGGATGGCAACAGGTGTTCACAAGCCCGTACTTAGACTGGACTATTGAACGAGTAGCTTTGAATGCAAAAGTGGTCGGAGGGCCACATGGGGACAAGGACAAAATGGTTGCTGTTGCCTCGGAGAGTAGCATCATCTTATGGAGCGTCCAAGATGGAGGAAGTGGAAGTGAAATTGGTAGGAAAAATCTTGTTTGTGCTGCATTTTGCTAGCACATATAATATTCTGAAGTTAAGAGGAATTGCTCATCAATATCAAAACTAACTTGGACTGTTAGCTATAGTTTACATATCTTCTTTCCAGGGTCCAGTGGGAGATAATAGGACCCGTGTGGGAGGAATGATCTGATAAAGAGGGGAAAAAATTGATGTTTTAGGAGAGAGGAGACAGGCTCCACCTGTAACCTGGCTGTTCTCTGAGAATGTTCTTCCTGGATCCCATTCAGTGGTGGCTGCTCCATCCCTCATACCACTGGCCCTGAAGATGGGATAAGTAATTTTCTTGCTTCTCCTCATTTGCTGCTTCTAGACCAGAAATTCTCAAACTTTTTCATCTCAGAACCACTTCACACTCTTAAAAAGTCGTTCAGAGCTATTAGAGTTTCTGTTCATTTAGGTTATATTAGTATTTACCACAATATGGATTAAAACTGAAAATTTATAAATATTAGTTTGAAAATAACAATAACAGACTTATTGCATAATAACATGAATAACATTTTCAGTGAAAAGTAATTTATTTTCCAAATATTTTTGTGAGAAGAGTAGCACTGGTTCGCAGTTTTGTAAATTTTGTTGAATTCTGATACCTGTTTCTGTGTTCATTCTGCTGCATTGTTTTGTTTTGGTTGAACTATATGAAGAAAATTTGGCTTCACACAGATAAGTAGTTGGAAAATAAATATCTTTATAGTCTTTTCAGATAATTGTAGATATTATTTGCTACCATCCCCAAATTTTGAAATCATGTCAATAAATTTTTCATACTTCGTTAAATTGAAATTCCTCAGTCTGTTTTGTACTTTTTGAAATGTACTTTATATACATACACATCTTTTATCCATGCATGATCTTGTAACATCATGTGTTAGTTATTTAGAAAATTTTGGATTACTAAATTACATAGATCTTTCAAATGTTGATACCATTCGTTGTGCAATATAAAAAAATTGCATTTATTACTATAACCACTGATCACATCTCTAAACTTGAATGTATTAGAAAGTTGTCACACCTCATTGGCAGATAAAAGTTTTCCAAAATACTAATTTTTACTTGAAGCATTGAATTTTTATCATTGAAGTTAAAAATTGAAATATCAGAGAAACAGACTTGCTTTACTTACTTTTGAGGAAAGTGCCAGACACCCAAATTTGAATTAACCTATCAGTCTTCTTTTTAAATAAAAATGGTATTTTTACTCTCAGCTCCAGCAATGCAGAAAATGCTTTTTCTCAGCACAGGACATAGTACTTAGTCACACAGAGTATTAAGACATACACTCAAAAAAAGAGATACTCAGTACAAATCCTTATACAGATCGCTTCAGTGAGGATATTCTTAAATTAAACTAGCCTTTTTTTTGTTTCCCTGAAAGTGTGTGGCAAAAAATTTAATGATCACTAGTACGATTTAGTGCCACGGTTCTGATTCTTGCTAAAGTGTCTTTTTACTCAACATTGCCTTGCACCTTCAGTGCAAATGTCAACACAGGTATTCTAGGATATTATGAGATTCATAAGTTTTGAACAGTTTGAAACTTTGACTATTTCAATACCGTATGTGTTTGTGGCTAAACATTCATGTAAAAAATGTTGAATTGTTTGGTGCTGTTACCAGATGAATAAATGCAAAACACCAGGCCCTGCTACATCTGTATATTCATGTGTTTGTTAATACAGCAGTGCAGTCCTGCTGACAAGATACTGTCTTCACCAAATCTTTAATTCAAGGATTTACTGGTCATTGAAAAGTAGCAGTGTTATGATGTCGTCTGTTGACTTTTCATGTGCTATGCATTCAGCATTGTGATCTGATCAGGGCCTCTTTTTTGTCTCCGAGCAATTGGGCATACTTCTCTGGCCCCTGCAGTGCCACGTACGATGCTTGAGGAGCTTTTTCGTTTCTAGTTTGAGTTTCTGAAACAGTCAATTTCAGGCTTTTAGAGTTTTTCACATCTTTATTTAAAATACTTATTTTTCTTTAAACTCTGAATGTAGGTCTCAGTGAAACTACAACTGGCATTGTAATACTATTCAAAAATGTTCTGTTGCATAGGCACAATAAGGCAAGTTATTAGTATTTATAAAGTTAAAGGCAAGATAATTTTTGTAATTTTTTACTTTTTACTTAGAATTTTGCCCAGTTTCTTTAGGGTTCTTTTCATGAATCAAAGAATTGTGATATGTCATATGTTTTTGTTAGCATCTTTAGACTTACATGCTGCAGCTATAGGTTGAGCAGGTGTGTTCTGATTTTCCCATTTTGAAGCCAGGGATCCATCAATATGTATATGAAAGATATATTATGAATAAATTTGTTTCAGAATAAAATTAAACAGTTTTAAGTAAAATTCTAAAAATTTAGAAAGGTTTTTCAGAGCAATAATGTTGCAAAACACAGCCAAGTGTACTTCATATGTTTCTTTGTATGCTCAAGGAAAATTTGGATTGTAAAATAATTTATTGGACAATAATGAGGTTACAGAGGTTATAGCAGACATAACTGAAAACAGCTAGGAAGAGCATAGTGGAGGTTTTTACAACGAACTAAATTAAGTTAATCTTGGGCAACCCGCAAAGTTAGTTTTACTCTAAACCTACCACCATACACAATTCTAGAAAACACAAGAATATATACAAAGATTCTATTGTTATAATGATGACCTCATCACCTCATGTGGCCTCTGAAAAACTCTGTACACTCTTGAGATCATGAGAATAAAAAAGGCAAATAATGCTTTAATATTACCATGAAAATGATCTTGAGCTCTCAGGTTTCCATAAAGGTCCCACAGACCCGCTGAGATTCCCAGCCTACACCCACGTCTCCCTCCCTCCAGCTCATCCCTTCTCTTTCTCTCCCCCTCTCTTTCTCTTTCTGTTTTGAAACTCAGTTAGACCCCTTCATGCTGGCCTAGAGGTCACTGAAGAACTATTTTATTTCCAATTTCTTTTCTCTCCATTCTTAACTGCAGTTAAGATAAATTTTCTTGATTAATGTCTTACATCCTCTTTCTGTAGTACTCAATCTTCAATTAAGCCCATCTAGTTAAGTTTTTCACTTGAGGTATTGGACTTTTTTTTTTTTTTTTGAGAAGGCATCTCTCATTTATTGATCAAATGGTTGTTAACAACAATAAAATTCTGTATAGGGGACTCAATGCACAATCATTAATCAACCCCAAGCCTAATTCTCAACAGTCTCCAATCTTCTGAAGCATAACGATCAAGTTCTTACCTGGTGAACAAGTTCTTACATAGTGAATAAGTTCTTACATGGTGAACAGTGCAAGGGCAGTCTTCACAGAAATTTTTGGTTTTGGTATTGGACTTTTCAGCTCTAAATTTGTCTCTTCATTCCATTTTAGTTTCTTTGCTGACATTTCTTGTTTTTTACTCCTTATGTCCTAGTTTTTAATAAGTCCAACGTGCTCATTATAGCTTTTTGACTGCTAATTCCAGTATCTGGGTCATCTCATGGTTTTATTTTGGGTCACATTTTCTTCTTCACATGTCCAGAAAATTTTAATGATAATGCTGAGCATGTACATGATACATCATGTAGGGAGTATGGATTATATTGTCTTTAAAAGATGGAAGTTTTGTTCTGGCAGGCAATTAAATGACCGGAGGGTCTGCTTGATTCTGCTGGGCCAGTTTTATGCTTTGTTCTGGGGCGGTAGCCTCTGTCGGCCTTCTGTGGGACTTGGCGCCGGCTCAGTGAGGTCCTTACTCCTGAAGGGTTGCTGTTCTGGAGTCTTCACCGAATGCCTGAAGTGCCTGGCAGGGACTCTCCACTGTCACTGAGCTGGAACTGTTCTATCTACCTGTGCGTGACCTCTGATATCTCCACTCTCTCTCAGTCCTGCAGCAACCCCTCTTCTTTACTCCTTGGGGATTCTCACCCTGCCTAGGTGCAGTTTGGCCTCAGCCATGGCCGCTTTTGTGTTATCTTCGCTCCATCCTGGTGCAGTTCCCTCCTTTCTTACAACTTGCCCGCAGATTTTAGCTACCCCAGCAGTCTAGACTCTGACTCAGCCTCTTCAGTTCAGGGAAACTGTCACTGTCACTTGAGTTTAGCAGCCTGTGGTATGGTCAGGAAGGTGTCCTTAATGTAGGAAGCCCGGGTGAACATGGGGCTTATCTTGTGTATTTCCTATCTTTCAAGCTTCTGCTACTTGTTTTCCAGTGCTTGAAAATAGTTGCCTCATATATCTTGGCCAGTTTCTTCTTGTTGTTTCACAGTTTGGAATATTCTAATGCCATTTACTCTGCCCTAATTGGCAGTGGAAGTCCTCCCTAATAGCCAGAAAAAAAATTTTAACATTCAAATTTTGGAATTAAATATACTGGTAATTACACAGAAAGAAGATGAGTTGTGATTTTTATTTTTCTTTTTTCAAATAGCCACTTGGAACATATCAGTAAGTGAAGGAGATTCCAAGGCTACTGTAGTAGGTAGCTGTGTCATGGTTTAGTACATAGTGATTTGTAAAAGAGACTATTTGTTGTTACAAATGTTCTTTAGAACTTGACACCACCATCCAAAGAAAATTGTTAGGGTTGGTATATATCCATGATAGAGCTCTCCCAGCGGCTTAACTACCTGCTTCATTATAACTTGTGTGTAAGGCCAGTATTACTGGATTGCTGCTATAAGCATGATTGTTCTGAGAGGGACCCTTAAGATAGGAACTTGTCATTATACTGTTGTCTTCCCTGTGGATAGTGGCCAAGATTGTTCAGCCTAAGCAGGAGTGACACTAAATTTCTTGAGATAATTCAGAATGTATTCCTTGATTTCCTAGAATTTTATCTTGAGAGTAATCAGTGTTAGTTGGTTTTCTTGTTTTTATTGCTACCTTTCACATAGCCCATAGTACTGAATATAGTTGGCTTCACATGTTCTGTAAAACTTTTTGATGTCAAAATTAAAATACTATTACAGAAAAATCCCTAAAATTGTGCATGAAGTAATGATTTTCTGCTTTGAAGTGGCAAGTTATTTCTCAACCAGTTCTAGTCAGAGAGCTTAGCTTTGTGTGTGGTATGGTGCTAGCTCTGGTGTTTTGTTTGACAGGTTGGGCTAAGATGGTGTATTCATGTGTGTAAGTATGTATTTATGCCTACAAATTAAAATGTGTATGTAGAAGACATTCTTAACAATACTTACCAGTTTTTTTTCTTTTTGTCCGTTGTATATCATTTTTCTTCCTGCTAGATCCCTGGCCTTTTCAAGACTGGTTAGGAATTTTCAAGGTCTTTATTCCCACTGGTCTTATATATAGTGCTGCTCTGAACAGAAAGAAAATACCCACACCGGTGTAACATTCAAAAGAAACCAGTTAACATTTCTGGCTTATGCTTCTAATACATGCTGCAATTGCATTTAATTGGTTTGTTTTCTCCTTTGACTTTTTCAAAGCCTTGTGCACCATTGTTTGTTCATGTTATCACGTAGTATGTACTTTTTCAAAAAAAATGAAAACCTGGTACCTGAAACAGCTAAAGATCACATAAAAACAATATTTTTAGGTGAGACTTATTATCAGCATTATTAGATTAAAAAATATTTTTCATAAGGTGCTTTTCAAATAAGATAGTACTATTTAAGTGTCAAAATTTAATTACAACAT